TGTAAGTGCACGGGTGCGTTCAAGTAATAAAGTGTACTTATGAGTCTAAGTATCAATCTCTTGAAGAGAGTTTTTTTAATTATACAATTGTTGACTCAATTTTAACAATTGAAAACACACAATTAGATTTTATATGTTAAAGGAAAAAGAAAATGAAAGAGAAGGAAATTTGAATTATAAATGAGTTGGGATTTATGATGTTACTTAACCGTCGTTTCTTTAATGTCGCAACAAACCGAAAATGCAAATTACCTAGTTACATTGTCCGATCGATTTTTCAAACTTAGTTAATTACCTCTCTAGAGCGAAATTAACTATAATCGATTGGTTTTACATACTATATCTCTATGTTGTTAAAAATCCAACTACCCGCATTAAATCGTAATAAAAATAACTCAAAGGGTCACCCAGAGCTTAGAGTACATCTCTATATCCTAAAATAACCTAAGGCATTAATTATTTTGGTCGAGAATGCACAACAATCTCTCAATAATTGAATAAACCACCTAATTCAATCATTTATTAGTCACATAATGATGAAAATTTTTAGAACAATAAATGCACAATAACATAGTAATTAAAACATTAAATGAAGAATATTGACATTAAAGAAACTTAAGTCAAGTTACACCATAAATCCCAACGTTAAACACTTAACCCATTGAAAAATAAAAGCACAAAAAAAATAAAAAAAAATAAAGAGAAACCCATTACAAAATGAAGGAGGTAATAGAAAAATACAAGATAGTGGAAGAAAGTCATCCCTTGAATATATTCTCGAAGAAATGAGGGGTTGAAATCTTAAATACTCCTTGCAAACTCCCAAATTTTGTTAGATATTCTCACTTCTTCTTGCATCTTCTCTCTTTGAGTGCTTTTTTAAGTGTTCTCCTATGAGTGTTGCCCAAGAAGTGACCTAATACACTGGTATTTAAATAGCCAAAAATTGCCTTAAGTGAAATTGCAGAAGAAGTCCCCAAATTTTGGCCAAATAGGCAAGATTCGCCCAACCGAAAGGCAGTGAACACATCATGATACTCTTTTGGCCTCGGTAAATCACAAAGGGCCTTCCCCACGCTCGCCATAATAAGCCTGCGAGGGCGGGCGCTTTCTTTATTTCTTTTTCCAAACTTAACCATCCATTTATTTGCACACAAGGCCCCATCAACTTTGATCATGTACAATACAGTCCTCAAAATTTGAGTTTCATATCACTTTCTGATCTATTCACTTTGGTCCCCAACTCTATGTTTTCGTATGCTTTTGGTCCCTTTTAACTCCCTTTTGCATTGTTTTCTTACCTTTTAGGGTTTATGATCTACAAAAACCAAAATTACCTAATTGCGAGTCGATATTCACTCTTTTAATCAATAATTAGCTTGTTAAAGTATTTAATAAGTGTGCAAAAACACACTTATCACATATTATTTTGATTATATGACACTACATGAAATTCTTTCTACCAAAATGAGTATGTTGGCTAGCTCAATGACTAACTAATTATGCCCCCGTTTGCCCCCCCTTTTTTCTTTTCAAATTTTAATATTTGAAATAGTATTTTTTGAAGAATTTATTGTTGAAAAAAAAATGAATAGTTTTCTATTTATATGTAGTATTATTTTATGGAAAATCGTGCGGTAGAAAATAAGAAAGAGGAAAAAAAAAAAAAGAAGAAAGAGAATGTGGTCTAAACGGGGGCTATGTTATTTTTCTAAAAAAAGTGAAGAATTTGTCTCCTTGATGAAGCAATAGATGATACAAAACAATTTTTCAAAGAGGAATTCCTAAATACATTGTTGTCAAATGGTATCCCACCATATAAGTAAAACTTGAAAAGAAATTGTTCGGTGATGCTCTTAAAGAATCTGGACCAATCTAGCGGTCTTTACAATAGAACAAGAATGATTTGCTATGATTTCAAGAAATATATTATTTATGCAGAAATAACTGTTGGACAACGTGCTAGAAAACAAGTTCTTGTTCCGAGCATCCCATACGTCTAGCAAATGATGATGGATATTCATTCAAATTCAAGAGGAAATAATTTTCAATTTGTATATGCTTCGCAATGTCATTAACTATGCTCAATGATAAATAGTGCCTACTATTGGATTATACCTTCCTGAACATGTATTTTCCCATCAACAACTATATGTTGCACTTTTCCTTTACAGTCGAGCTACTTCGTTCCTCTCCATGCGAATCCTAGATCTTCCCATTTCCAAGAAGATCCCCGACTCCCTAGAACCTGGCAAAGTCATTATCAATGAATTCTCAAGACTTTTTTTATGCAAACAACAAAAGTTTTGGTAAAAGTAGAAAATAAAAAGAAGAAAATTTATGGGATGTTGACAAAAAAATAGTGTACAAAGAAATGTTATTATAATCAAAACATTACATTTCAGTTTATTTAACATTTTTCACATTATATACATAATTTCACAAAAAGTTTTATTCATATATATCATTTTTAACAATTTTAGTTTTTCCTTTAACAATATTAATTACTTCAACTACCTCCAAAAACCGTATTAGTACTTCAAAAATATTACGTCTATCATTCAACTAATACATAAATACGTGCAATGCACATGCTTACTACTAGTTTTATACAAGGATGCTAATATCATCCCAAGATATAGTACTGTTTATAAAATAAAATAAAAAGAAGCAATTTTTTGGAGTGAATTGTCTATTGACAATTTAGGTGATTTTTTAAAGTTTAGTAATCCCGTGATTTTTAAAGTTTAGTGATCCCTTGGAAATCTTTTACAAAGTTTAGTAACCATTTGGGTAATTCACTCAATTTTTTGAGATCTTCACAAGCTTGTTGTCAAAACTTTGATTCGTGTGTTCTACAGACTATCACATAAAGGGCTTGTTTGAGCCATATTATTTTTAAAAAAATATATTATTCAACAGTGATTTAACATCATTTCAACCACACATTTTTCAATAAAATAATATTACACGTAAATTTAAATTTTTTTCTTATTTTTTAACCACACATCTCTCATTGATTTGATATGAATAATGCATTTTTTCCTACAATGTGGCTCAAACATGGGCAAAATATTCAAATTCCTTAGAGATGACACCACAATTTTGCTCCATCTATATATGCTAAAGTTGCATGATTTTTATTATGATTCCAACTATGAATTTTTGTTCTACTTATAAACATGCTTATTTGTGATGGTAAGAATAGAGCATCTTTAAGAGACTCTATTTTCAAATAGCATATCATACAATTTAAAAAGTATCTATAAATTTGGAGAGAAACAATTTTACATGCTCAAACAGAGTCTTTATATTTAATACTTAATTTTGCTACTCCCAAAAATATTTATTTTTTTCTATCTTTTATTTTCACTGGCTTCCCTCCAAATTATTATATTGTTTTCCGCCATTGTAAATTGAAATATTTTGAACACATTCTCTATAAATTAAAATATCAATTTAAAGGATCTCTTGGAATATAATTTTGAGGATTAACTCTTTAAAATATAGAGTATCCTATATTTAAAAAGTCTTTTAGAGTGCTATTAGGGATATAATTTTGGCCCGTCAGCTCAGACGGCTCATGGCTTGTCAGCTCGTGGCTTGGAGGAATTGAGCCTAGGCTCAAGTCAAGCCCCATTTTGGGGCTTCGGCTTGAGCTCAAGCTAACCCGTGTGGCTCGTTGGCTCGTGAGTCGAAACATAGGAGAAAAAAATATGAAATGCTGCCTTAAATAAACAGCAAACGTGCTACCTGTTTAAAGGCTGCTAATATGATGCCTTAAAACAGGCAGCTATCTATATTATTAATGGAACCAATGATTTTTCTTAAGATATGAAATCAAATAGGAACCAAATCATTTGTTTCTGATTTGGTTTGATTTGGTTACAGTTTTATTTAAATTTTTAAATGAAAAATGCAAATTAAAGTTTGACATTATGTTTATAATAATAACAAAAGGCTAAATAAAAATAAAATAAAATAAAATAATAAGCTTCAAACATTTAGCAAATTCAACTTCAAATTATCAATCATCAAATGAAATGTTATGTAATAAAATCATTCACAAAAGTTCTTACTAATAAACAAAACATAGTCATAATTTGATTACACAAACATCAAGTTCCATCCCTATAGAAAATATTGTCCAATAATAATGATTCACTAATATAGACGAATGAATCATTGATAAAATTTGAATTTTTTTGCTTGATTCAATTATTTGTGTATATATAATAAAATTTGAGTTTGATTATTGTTTCCAATTCTAGAGCTGAAAACCAACCCAAAACTAGACGGTTTTTTGTTCTAAAAATCAAAATCATTAATTTTTTTTTTAAAGTTATAATTTGATATGATTTGACTTGATCATCATGTTCACCCCTAGCTCTAACCATTCAACTTAGGAACTAATAGAGCCTTTACACATGAAAGTTCCAACGGCATGAAGATAGCATGAATGGTGGTTTTTGGAATAAAATTTGGAGGATGTTTGATAGGATTAAAATTAGACTTTTTAGTAGATTAAGCCCTTGTTTGGACAGGTTTTTCAACCAAAAAAAAAAAAAAAAAGGCAAAATTTTGACCTTTTTGGTCCATTGGACCCACCTGTGAGAGTTTTGGTCAGTGAAGACGATTGCAAATGGATAGTCAACGGTCAAAGAATTCTTGTTCTGCCCTAAAAATTTCATCTAAACAGGGGTTAAGATAGAAAATTTTGAAATGTGTGGTTGAAAATTTGTGAAATTCGTAAAAAATGTACTTAATATTGATATTTAGCTCCCGTTTGTTTATTATTTTTGGAAGAATGAGAATAAAAAGTATAGTCGTTATGGATTTTACATAAGAGATAGAAATTTAAATTTGATGACTTGATATGATAGATAACGATAATATTTTTCATTTTAATGATGAAATAATGGAAATCAAATGGGGCTTAACTTTGAATTATATTAAAATCAAATTTTAATAACGAAACATGTGCTTAATTTGGCACCTCGTTAGAAGAAACGGGACCCATAAAATCCCAGTCGTGGATCCCCGCCACCACTCACCCCCTCCCTCGCGGTTCCGCCACCGTCGCCCCCTCCGCAGCGGCCCTTCTTTCTTCAACCATTACGCTATACAGAAACAACAGCACTCACAAATAGATCGCCGGTTGCAACAATGGAGGCCGAGCTACCAGTGGAGCCGCAATCGCTGAAGAAGCTAAGCTTCAAATCTCTAAAACGCGCCCTCGATCTCTTCTCACCTCTTCATGGCCACTTTCCTCCACTGGATCCTGAAAGGTTACATCAACATGCCCTAAATAGTGTTCTTCAATATAAAAAAACTATACTGCTTAATATTAAATTCGATAGTCAATATGACTCAAGCTCTTATATAATACTGTTTAATTCTCAATTCGATCGTCAATATGCCTCGAGCTCTTCCTTTTCCTCCAATTCTTGCCTTTCCTTAAACAAGTTTACGCCAAGAAAGGTTATTTGGAATACCCAAAACCCTAATATCAACAAGTCCTAAATAGTGTTATTATATATTTCATTTATAGCATAGGGATTTATTTTGCTTACTTTTCAAATCGATCGTCAATAATATTGAGATAATTGTTCCAATGGTCACATAACTTAGGTCCATATCTTTGATTAGGTATTGAAGTTTAAAATGTTGAGTTTTGATGGTATCTGTCTTCGATTGCTTACTAACGTTTAAAATGTCGAGTTTTGATATCTGAACTTTGAAAAATGTTGCATATTACTCACTAAACTTTGAAAAATATTATACAGTATTCACTGAACTTTAAAAAATATTGTACATTACTAATTGTAAACTCGATATTTTTCAAAATTCAACAGTTATGCTTGTGAGTAACGTACGGCATATTTCCAAAGTTTAGTGGCCAAAATTCGATATTTTAAACTTTAGAGAGCAATCTAAGACATAAGTCTAAGTTCAGTGAGCGATCGAAAATATTGACCAAAATTCAGTGACCAAAACTCGATATATTAAATTTCAGTGATCAATCAAAGATATGGACCAAAATTCAGTGACCATTTGAGCAATTAGCTCAATATTATTTAATGCCTAAGCTCTTCCATTTTCTCTAATTTTTTCCTTTTAATGAGTTTGTAGTAGAAAAAGGTACTAGGACCCTCGTTTCAACATGTTCGAAATATTGTGGAGTTATAGCGTAAGGGTGTAATTTTGCTTTTTATTTATTTATTTGATGGTCAATATTATTTAATGCCTCAAGCTCTTCTCCTTTCTCTATTTTTTGCCTTTCCTTTTATGAGTTCTTTGCAAGAAAGATTACATGGAATACCCTAACCCTCATTTCAACATGTTATAAATGGTGTTCTTTTAGTTTTAGCGGATGGATGTAATTTTCCTTAATTTCAGATTGTCAATATTATTAAATACCTGAGGCTCCTTCTCTATTTTTTCGCCTTTCCTTTTATGAATTTTTTGGCAAGAAAGGTTACTTGGAACACCGATGACTCTCATACCATATGCTGTAAATAGTGTTCTTATATTTGAGTTATAGCATATGGATGCAATTCTGCTTAATTTTCAAATGTCAATGCTATCTCTTCCCTTTTCTCTAATTGTTTCCTTTTTGATTTGGATTTGTAGCAAGAAGATTCGGATGAGCCATAAGGTTAGTTCTTGTTAACGTGTACACCTGTGTTTATACTATACAAACCAAGGGGAAGCAGAAGAATTAGGCTTTTGGTAGAGTGTGCTAACTAGTAAAATGTTCATTTTTCATGCTTTTCTGGGGACAAGGGGTAGTATAAATTGTGTAAATACTAGAAAAATAAATCAATTGGATGGTGCTTATAGGAGCCAAATTTTTTCCTCTGGATTATTAGAGTGTATCGTAAAATATATCTTTTATGAAAGGTAATTGTTCTTAAACTTACAATAATAACAATTAAAAACAAATACTTGATCATAAAAATTAAATTATTATTCAAAAATCATAATTATTTTTCTTTGTCATACCACTAGAGACCCGTTCCAAACTTCAACGCCTCGAGCATTAATTACTTGAAAGGGGGAAATTATAGACAATGAGATAAAATCCCAATAAGTGAACCACATAAATTGTAATTCATATTTAAAGTTTAAGAATTCGTAACGTACATAAGGAGATAGGAGGATTAGAGACCGAACTTAGGTGGCCATAATCCTCGTACATAATTACAACATACATAGGGAGATACAGGAATTAAGAACCGTACTTTGTTTCTATAATTCCCGTGCGTAGCGCTACTAAACTTCAGTCCTTTGAACTTAAACATGTAGGATCCATATCATATTCATTACTTGGAATTCCATATTTTAAAGTATGAAAACGATTTAACATACAACGTATGAGTACACCTACCTCGTAAATCTATAGAGGATTTGATAAAATACGCACGGAAGAACTTGGACCTTAAACAACCGTTTATGAATTCTGTGTGTAGTGTGGGACAATCATATTTATGCACACACATATATATAGATACACATAATTATGGAAATCATATAATTTAAGTCAATCGACCGTAATTATATACAATTACACATATATAGACGCATGTTATGCTAGTTAATATAATGTTAATGTTTCTTGCTACTCTATTATTCTTTTGCCATTTTCTGTGAACAAGGGATTATAAACTGCATAAATACGTGGAAAAAGAAAACAAGATGTGTTAATGTATATATATTGAAAGACTAATGGAATTGAGCCAGAGTAGAAAATATGTACGTTTTTATGCTGTGTGATATTGATGCGTATCGTATAACTATTGTATTAATTACATGTTAATTTTATGTTATTTCTCTGTAATGAAGAGGTTTCATGTTGATTGTGAAGCTCAATACTGAGTATAGAGGAGTAAAAGACACTGCAACTTCTAATGCTAAGGCAGCTGCACAAAGTAAAGCGCATCAGGCTTCTGCTGCATCCAATGCCCTTGCACTCCCAGGTATTAAAAACCTTGCTAATATTCAAATCTTCTTAATGTAGTATTGATATCTCAAGAAATTATGTTGATACATACAGTAAAAATGTCTACTTGAAAAGATGAACTTGATGACATGATATCTATAATCTGTTGATTCAATGGATGTTATGCATATCAGTGATCTTTTAGCATTTCTAGGTTGTAACTAGTTGTTTGTGTCTAGTTTGTTGACGTTGAATTTGAATTCTCTGCAGGCCCTGAAAATTCAACGGATCCACAGAAGGGAGTCTCCAATAAGGATATATAATTGAGCTTCGGGAGTGTGAAGTTCACTACCATTTAGTCCTTGTTTGAGCCCCATCTTATTTTTTGTTAAAAACGTATTTTGGAATAGTGATTTTTTGGAGAATGTGTGGTTGAAAAATAAAGGAAAGTTTTCGATTTACGTGTAATATTATTTTAGTGAAGAATGTGTGGTTGAAAAGAAGAGAGAAAAATGTATTTTGATAAAAATGGGGCTCAAACAAGGGCTTATTCATTATAATGCAGATAAAAGCAGTCCCATGATTTGGTTGAATGAAATAGGTATATCTGTTTAAATGAACTATTTAATTACTTTCTTGAAGAAATAAAGCAACTCATAAATTTGGATATTAGATGCAGCACTAAGATTTTTGAACTTGGCCTATTGAGCTTAGTTATGTGCATTATTTTTCGTCATAAGCTAATTTATCTTTTCCTATGATGTCATAGAAAATCAATCATTTTCTACACCCAGAATATTTCGACTTATTTAGCATCAATAAGTATGCCATTCTATTTCTTTCTTTCCTTTTTTTTTTAATTATTTTTTTATTTTTATTTTGGGTGTCCTTCAATTATTTTCTTTCTGTTATGCTGGCAAGATATGGGATTTAGCAAGTGGGCGGCTCAAACTCACTCTTACTGGACATATCGAACAAATAAGAGGTAGTTTACTTTCTACTGTGAGGCTAATCCTTAGTCTCTAAGCCATATGGAAGAGTAATAAGAATTAATTTTTCCCTACAGGCCTGGCTGTTAGCAGCAAGCATACATACATGTTCTCTGCTGGTGATGACAAACAAGTTAAATGTTGGGACCTGGAGCAGAATAAGGTTTGTGATTGAATGTGAACTGTTTTAGGTTTAGTGATTCTGGTTGGGCATGCAACTAATCTTCACTTTTCAGGTCATTCGGTCTTATCATGGTCATCTGAGTGGTGTTTATTGTTTGGCTGTTCATCCAACCATTGACATTTTGCTCACGGGCGGTCGAGATTCTGTGTGCAGGGTATCTACATCATATTTATACCAATTTCACGTTATCTTTATTCTTTACATATGATAGATATTCAGCTCAGTGTTTTAGATATGCTAGAGGGGTGATAAATAATCACTAAATTTTGATAAAAACCTAATTTCAGGTGTGGGATATTCGCAGCAAAATGCAAATTCATGCACTTTCGGGGCATGATAACACTGTTTGTTCAGTTTTCACACGACCTACGGTAAGTGATTAGGTCACAAGAGGGTAATTATGCTCCCTCCATTCCATAATATTTGCTATGTTTTTGGTAAAATCAACTTTTTTATAGTGTCATGTGAATGCCCACAAGTGTTATTGGACAAGTAAATTGCATTTGATAACACGTTGAATATCATTGATGTTCAGGAAAATGATTGACATGGCAAAGAAAACGTTTCACTTCTTGCACTAAAAAAAAAAAAACACCCTATCAAATTGTCTTCATCTTTCTGTTAAAGACTTAGCCCCTGTTTGGTTTAGCTAAAAATTAGATTTTTAATAGATTTTGATAAAAGTTTGTGGGTATGGTTGATAATTTGGTAAAAGTCGTGGGTCCAATAAAATATGTGGTCGATATGAGTTTTAGAAAATTGGGGGCCAAATGGGGCTTAAAGTGAATGTTCTTAAAGAAGTTTAAAATAACTTTGATTTGCAGGATCCACAAGTCATAACAGGTTCTCATGATACAACTATAAAGTTCTGGGACCTTAGATATGGTAACGTAATTTTAAGAACTATCTATTCTTTCATTATAAATTTTTAACATTCTCATTTCTAAATTTCAAATGCTCATGTCTGGCAGGTAAAACAATGGCAACTCTCACACACCATAAAAAATCCGTGCGAGCAATGGCTCTGCATCCCAAGGAGTATGTAAACCCTGTCTGCTATATTTCTTTTTTATTCTGTAGCGAAGATCTATCTTTTGATTGAACATTTACTTCTTTTTCTCTGACTCAGCACTTTATTGATTTATTGATTTTATATTTGCAGAGATTGTTTTGCATCTGCTTCTGCTGAGAATATCAAAAAGTTTAGCCTTCCTAGAGGAGAATTTATGCACAACATGCTGTGAGTTTTTTGACATGTCTTACAATGTACTCACAAATTTGATGGATACAAAATCAATAGTCATTTTGTTTGATGCTCAATTATATTTCAATTCATGCTAGGAAGGCAAGGGATATTGGGAAACTAAACTGCATTTGATGGGTGTTTTAATCATGTTATTGGTCAGATTTTGGAAAAACAACAAAACATTCCATTGGAGGGGTTGATTTGAAAAATGGTGTGTTATATCATGTGGTCTGATGGCCTGGGACCATGTTTATCTTAAGTGAAGTTGAACTTTTGGTTTGTTGAATGATGGCGACATAAGTATAATAAATTTCTCTCTAGGATAATAGACCCTTGTTCCAATCTTCTATTTGTAAAGACCGTTGCTCAATTAGTTTCTCACCCTTTCCATGAGAACTCTGAGATGATTCTGTCTTGGTCAACATTGCTTTAAATAGAAACTACTACATTACATTGGTGCAAGTGTCCTTGATCCCTTCTTCAATAACACTGAAGAAGACTTATCCCCTATATGATTTCTTCTAGTGTATCTCCTCAACAATGGAACTGCAAGATTTATTTTGTCTGATACTGTTCGATACAAGATACACATGTAAAGAGAGAAACTTTTCTTTGTTTCTCTTAATGGGTTCGGCTTTATATTTACGTGTGCTTAATACAAAGATAACTTGTAGTACTTAAATGATCTTCATACCTAGGTCACACGGGAACTTGTGAACCAAGTTGGGCTGTGACAAGTTTTACCATTGAGGGTTTGTTTGGTAGTGATTTTGAAAATTGATTTTTTGATGGAGAGAAAAGTGGGTTTTACCTATGAGAGAAGAAGTCAAAAATGACGACTTGAATATTGAAATAACGATAAAAAAAATTGATTTTTTGGGGCGAAAAATCAATACCAAACTTGCACTTAGTTATTTTGACACATATAAGATGCATTTTCTTCCGCATACACCCTTTTTAGTCCAACTCGGGAAACATGGTGATTCCTGCTGTGATATTGCAAAAGTGATCAGGCTCTGCTATATGCTCTATGTTCAATTTATGCTTTTAAATTATTGGTCTTTATGCTTGAGCAAGAATATCACTACTTTCTTCTGATGACATGTTGACTTTATGTTTGTATTTTACAGCTCTCAACAGAAAACAATCATTAACGCAATGGCAGTCAATGAAGAGGGTGTATTGGCCACTGGAGGTAAAAGTCAATACATGAATTATGCAGTTCTCTTGTTCCTTAGCCCGTTTCGTTAGTTTTATTTTGTTTCTTTTCTTCTTATTTTTAGGTGGAGGTATTCTTCTTTAATCCTTTTTAACGCCCTCATTTTTTTATCTAAGGTGATAATGGAAGCATGTGGTTCTGGGACTGGAGGAGTGGTCACAATTTCCAACAAGATCAAACACTTGTTCAGCCTGGTAAGTATTTTGCACAGATAGATTAATTTGGGTTCTCTTTGGCTTGTTGAAAGCAGCGATAATGGAAATTTTGGTTCTACTACTTCAGGGTCACTTGATAGTGAAGCCGGAATCTATGCTATGACCTATGATTTAACGGGTTCTCGACTTATTACTTGTGAGGCAGACAAGACTATCAAGATGTGGAAAGAGGATGAAACGGCAACTCCAGAAACTCATCCCGTACATTTCAAACCACCCAAAGATATGCGGCGATTCTAATGTTCTTGCATTTATCTCTGAAGTCTCTTCATCCTTTTTCTTATTTACCGCTATTGGGAAGCTCGAGAAAAGCTCTATGATGTGTGAATTTGCTAATCGATCTTCGTAAATGCAATCTCGAGATTTTGAAATGTACGAGTTATAATGGACTGATTTTAACGGAGGTTTTTTATGCTACCATTTGTTGGTGGAAAACTGATATGTAACGGAATCTCATCTGTATGAATTGGAAATTCGGTTTTGAGTTGCAAATTGAGAGATTAAAAGGCCGTTGTGCCTGTTTTTTACTAGCTTATTTCGTATATTGTGTTCAGTTAGGTGGATTTGTTCGTGCTTTTCTTTTAAAATTTAAAGATCCTAGAATTTCATCTACAAATAATGAAAAGGAAAATTCTACTTGTACACTTTTGGTGTACATAGTGGATTATACCCCTTGCCTGCATACAATAAATTATATATGGGTTTTTTTCATGTGAGGGGAGTGCAATGTGTGCAACAGAGGTATACATATAGCATCATTGTAATTAAAATATTGTGCATTGTACTAGCCTATTGTGTCTTTTTGAGTACTTTTCCTATTAATGTCACTGATGACTATGAAATTTGGTGACTGGGAAATTTAACACTCTTTTTCTGTCATAGGTTATTCGAGATTTAACAATGAATCGAATGAGTTGTGACCTATCCTGAATTTGTTAGTTGTTCTTTTAGTGCATTTTTTAGGCTTGCTTATGTAATCTATTTTTAGTAAATGGAACACGTCAACCTGTTTTTCGGTGCTTTTGGTCATTATTCAGATGATACGTTATCAAGAAAAGTACCATTTTGAGCTACCAAAAATGCATCAAATCTAAACCTGTAAGGAGTGTTGTAAGCAACACGATTTAATATACTTTTGTAGTCGTATGATTTGAAATTTTAACACATGGAAGTTCGACTAAATGATTGTTGTAAAAGCTAGTTTGGAATTTCTAATAAATAAATATTGACAACATTTCATAGCTCGTGAATTTATCAAAATCAATCTCATGAGTTTACCAATTGTCAATATATGCGAAAATTTTGAGTCTTAACTGTAATTTAGAATTGAAATGTACGATTTGAATATTTAAAACAAGAACGGAACTCAAATAATTTGAAAGAGTTAAAAAAAATGAAATATCTTAAAAAGGGCCCAACCGGGTTCGAACCGGTGACCTATTGATCTGCAGTCAATTGCTCTACCACTGAGCTATGGACCCTTGTTGGTATGATTTTTAAAATAAATTATTTTATTACTTTATAAAACAAACGATCAACCTTGTTAATCGATTCCTAACAATCATACATAGGTTTTTTTTGCCTCATTTTACTCGATGCATGATTTAACTTAACCTCTCACATTTGAAATTATTAATGTTAATACTCGTATCTCGACCCAAATCTTAATTAAATAATAAAAAAAAATCTATTTTTAAACAATATCTTGCAAGGATAAGATGAATTCCTCATAGTTATTTCAAATGCATTAAGCTACATGCACATCTTGTCTCACATTAAGTTTTACATTCTTTCACATTGTACCATTATAGCCATTGATTTCCTTAATATCATTTCACTTCGCTGTCTAGTGGCACATTGTGCCACATAGGGATGACACCCGTCTCGCCCAAACCCTGCGGCGGGCAGCTTTTCACCCAATTTATTTATTTATTATTATTATTATTATTTCAATTTTTTTTAAAATTTCAAGTTATGCTATTATTAGAAAATAAAATACAAATTCAAAACGAGTCTTTAACGAATGAATTATCTAAAAATAAAATTTTTTTCATTTTTTTTTCTTTTCACGGAGCTGCCAACCCATTGGGGAGAATTTTTTTTGCCCCATTCAGGATGGGCCGGGATTTTTTACCATCACTAATGCCACATAGGGGGCAATGTCATGAAAGGTGTAAATAAAAATGTACATCTTGCAAAATTCATTTCAAATAAAACAATAATTTTGTGCAACAAAACATGCAAAAGGACACTAGGCTCCAATAAGGTAATTTGCATTGTTCACAAATTTTTGCATTTCAGGCTGATTAGCAGGTAATTTACTAGCTATTACTTAGAAAATCTCAATAAATTTAGCACAATTACCTACGTGCTCTCTCTCTCCATTTCAATTTTTAACCAAGCTTTAACTTTATAACGTTCAGCACAGACTCTCTGCTAGGGAATAGAACATTAGCGACCCAAATACTAAGAAACATAGATTGATGACATCCACCATAATTTTCTCTCTTTGGGATTTGGAGGAAGAATACACATGAATCAATTTCAGGCATCACCATTACAGTTTCAACAAAAGACAATGTCCAGCAAATGTCTAGTTCATGTTACAGAAAACAGAAGAATTCTTGGAGATTTTTCTTCTTGAGAGATACAGGCCTATACCAATGGGGGCAGCTATGGGAAATGCAGCCCCTCCTTCAGAGAGGGTTAGCAGCTCGGAATGACTCTTTTGTCCGACCATAATAGACGGATTTACTTCCCTGAAATGTGACAAAATTCCAACCAAAAGCCGAACCACCAACAACATATGACCCTCCTTGGGCCTGATGGTCTAAAGGCCTGTTCAATGTTTCTGGTGTAGAATTTTCCGATAATTTGGCACGTTTTTGATGCTCTTTGAGATTCTGTTCATCTTCAATGTTGCTTGGCGCATTATTACACTTCTCCAGTTTGATGGATTCGGACATCATTTCTTTGTACAAATCCATCATATCCTTCATGCCTGAAATTTAGATTATATAATCTTTTCACATACATTTTCCCCCATATAAATTGCAAAGTAATTTCTTCTACATTGTACATAGAAGGTAAGTTGTTACGAGGATGTTGCTCCATCGTAGAGCAAATGTGGCTAAGATAAATAAAGTAAAAAATTTACCTTTTTTACTTCCAAGATGTTAGTGATAGAATACGATGATCATGATTATATAGGTAAGGTAACTGATTAGGGGGGCAATCACACATAAGTTCTTAGATCAAATCTCATGTCGGCCTCCCTTCCCCTAATCACCCCCAAACCGTTGGAGGTCAAGAAATAGTCCTGATAAAACAAATAAATATATAAAATAACATATTGGTATTAGATGCTAGCCACAAATATCATGGAGAGTTAAAAGAGAAAAGTGATGCCCGATGCCCAAGCTCATAAGTTCACGAACATATAATTGAAAATTTTAAGGACTCTTACCTTGACGAATTTCATCAGCTGCCTTGCAATTTCGAAAATTGGGAGTCTTGAGCACCTTCAAGAAACAACAAAAGAAGTACTTTAAGAACCTCAATACTATAAATTCCAATTTAACAAGTCTAAATACGTGCACTGGGCTTAGAAAAAAGGCACGTAGCTCGATTCATGAGCGATACACTTATCCACAAGGTGTTTTTGGATAATGCAACACTTTCTGATTATATTATCTGCCGTTTGGCTCTCAAAAATGAAGCTTCATTGACCTTTCGGCTTTATGAAAAATGATCAATTAACGAAAAAAATATAACTGATGAACAATCAACAAATCAAAGGAAAACTGCCGAAAACCAAATTCTTCCCCACACAATTTCATGACAGTGTCTACATATGTCGACCATTCAGTAAAAAATGTGTGGACAACCAAATTCAGACCCTGGTTCAGCGTGCAATTTCTATGCAGAGATCGTCTCTTATAAATCTCCACTCAGCAATTTCATAAACGATATCTTTCTGAATAACAGCTGAGAGATATTGCACCTGTGGTCTTTTCTCCAGAAGATCAAAGGCAATCTCATACAGGATTACAATCACAATCTCTTACAGCAACCATCTTCAAAGGTTTATTAAATGTAACAAAAAGGATTATTACGCCCCCGCTTGTTTCCCATTCCTTTTCCATTAAAATGAGAAATATGACAGTTATCCATCACATCAAGCCATCAAATTTGAATTTCTATCTCTTGTGTGGGGCCTATAATGACTATATTTTTCATTCTCATTTTTACAAAAATGGAAAACAAACGCCCCCTACATCTAAATTTGAAATTCATTTGACAAGGCATAGCCCTGTTCCTCCAGATGTAAAAACCACCATTGGTGTCTTTCTCCTAAAAGTGAAATTACATTTTGACAATTAACTCAAAACCCTGCAGGTGTGGACCAACACATAGTAAATGCGACCAATACCATGACTGTAAACAGTAAGCATCCATAAATGCATACAAGTAGACAGACTTCCGCATCACTAAAGATCATTAAACTCCAAAAAGGAAATAAAAGGTCGGGGAGTATCTTCTAAAAGAGCAACATTGGGACATCCAACCATGGGTATCCGCCTAAGCGCAAATAATACAAAGATGTGCATATATATAGCCATAAAATTGGCTGAGAATTACAGTTCTACATGCCAACTGCCGGTATAATCAATCAATCTGTTAATGATCAATTTATTTCATATACTGTCCCGAATCAAGAAATCTGACCGCTTTCCTCAGGTAAACAAAACGACTCAGACACAAATAAATAAAATCTTGAACCACTGAAAGGAAATTTCAATATGAAATAAAAGAAACACAATTGATGAAACCAATCGCACTCTTCACACAAAAGCAAGCAGAATCCATTTTTTTATCCCTAATAGTGATAGGGAAAAAGGAAAAACTCAAGCAACACAAAAAGGCATGCTTTTTTCTTCTTCCATATTTGTTAAAATAAAAAAGTAATATTAATTTTAGAATCCTAGTACACTGAAAAAAGTACAATATTGAAAACCCAATTTATAAGAAATCAACACAAAAAAGGTCAGGAAGATTTTCCAATTCGTATAGCAAATTATTAGGAGAAACCCCTGAACCCATCAAATGAAAAGAATATATCTTGATGGGAAATTCATGAATTCATCTAAAAAAAATTTCTTTAGACATTTAGTAAGAAAATAAAAGTTCAATTTATCAATTACCGTTTCATTTTGGGCATCAGAAAAACTCCCACAAATTCCACATAATTCAAGAAACCCATGTAATAAAATCTTAGATTACTCCAAACATATTTCTTGGAAAAATGTAAAGAATCCACAAAATTTAACCTCTATGAAATGGGGTCGAAGATCTCTAAGAACAGCGCGCATCTTGTAATAAGGAGAATTCTTAAAGTTGGATAAGTTTTGTTCGAGAGGTCTCTTCTTGCTCTGTGGGGGTAGGGTCTGAGGTGTGGGTGGAGGTAGGGTCTGAGGTGTGGGTTGGGCAACTTTAGGGTCTTCCATTGTTGGTATTTCTCACTAGCTCTGTGCAAGAAAAATAATTTTGATAGGGGTTTTCATATGAATGAGATGTAGATCTCTTTTGTGAAATGAATCTTATCGCTACGCCCAAAGGTTTTCTTAGAGTTAAATATTCCATTAGTTACTAAACTTATACTTCGGTGACACTTTATTCATTTAATTTTAAAATGTTTGTAAGCTCACTAAATTTTAACATGCTTCCTTCATAAAAAAGAAGTGAATCTTATTTCGCTAAGCTCAAAGGTTTTCTTAGAGGTAAATGTTCCATTACTCACTAAATTTATACTTTTGTCACACATTATTCATTTTATTTTAAAATGCTTGTAAATGATCATTAAATTTTAACATGCTTTCTGATAAGTATATTTTACACACTTATTTGGACGTACGTAAAAATATCGACATTTAATAGTTCTTTATGTAATTATAATCTAATTTAATGTATATTTTGTTTATTAGGTAAACCTCAATAGTCGAAAGTTGAATTGAAATAAGAAGCGAAAAATGACGAAGTACAAAGTTAAGGGCCAAATTGTAAATATCTAATGGTTGAATTGAACCACAAGAGATATTTTGAAAATTGATAGGAGTCAATTGGATGCAAGTAGAAGTAAAAAAAAGAATGAAATATTATCAGAATATTAATATAAATCGACTTTTAATCACATAAGATATCTTCAAATTGTTAGTTAAAGAATTGCGATCCATTTTTGGTATGGTAAACATCCGAATTGAAACATTCTATTTCAGCAAAAATTGTAGACTTTTGAGTTAGCTTTCCAGTACATTTTGAATGAACTCAATTGGATAGCGAGAGACAAAGTTATGAGCAAAATACTGACTGTTGTGCAAAGACAAAAAATACATGGACGAAGGTAACTTCCTCTTTCGATTGGAACTCTTTTGGAAACCAATTTGGATATAATTTTCAACCAATTATCGATTCATACAAATACCTAATAGCAGAATACATTAAAAGACCATCTCATATATATATATATATATATACACACTCATCAATTATTATTATCAAATGAGGAAAATTCATAAATTTTGTGAGAGAATTGAAGGGGATTTGCAAGAATTCAATCAAGTGGAAATTCAAACTTAATTTTTGGGCAAATAAGAGAAGACACAAGTGAAAATTCATCGAGAAACCATTGAAGAGATTCAAGATTTCAAGACTCATTTTCATCTTCTCAATTTATAAAAATATCCGGGTTATGTCTTTTCACTTAAATATGATTTTTTGTAATTTCAATAAATTATGCTAGTTTTATACATTGCTAAGAAACCCTTGTTATGATCTTCGTAGTTTTTAATTAATTATTTTGACTTTAATTTAATTTATATTTGTGGATGTTTATTATCGTTTTTATCATTCTTTTCAATTGTTTGATCACTAATTGAATTGTTAGTGTATTTTATCATTATCAAGAGAGACAATAGGACATAAGCACAATATAAGAAGCATTGTAAGGTTCGAAGAGGATAGAGATATACCTCTATATTTTATATGGTTTCAATAGATGTTCTAGTACCTATTAATGCATTTATCATGTCTGCATTTTTCATTGAGAGATAGAATCGTCACATGACGGGAATAGATTTAATCGCCATCGAGAGAAACTTTCAATTAAATAGGAATATTGACCAATATAAATGATTTCAAATTGTCACTTTAATTATTACACTAAAAATAGAATAACAAGGGGATTCAACATTTTAGTAATACTTTCACATATTGAAAAACCTCATTAAATCACTTTCTAGTTTAATTGATAATTTAGATATTAGTTAGAATAATTACAATAACTTGTTTGCTATTCAATTAAAATTGCAATTAATTTTAACTTGATCAAATACATAGTCCTCGTGGGTTTGACACTTTACACACTATTATATTACTTGCTCACGATTCTGTTCACTTGCGAGAAATCAAACGATCAAGTTTTTGGTGCTTTTACGAGAGACTATAGTTTTTATAAGTTCTAATTAATTTTACCTTTAATCTGATTTTTTTTTTAGTTTAGTCATTAATTTAGAAATTTTTTACAGCGTTTCTTACTTCATTTTTAGGATATTGTATTCAAAGTTCAAGCAACTGAGATCTTGCTCAATTTGACTAGGAGATCAATTGAACATTTAACCTTTCGAATAAGATGAGAGTTGGAAAACACACAATAAACAGAAAAAGGAAGTCATGGCAGAGGAACATCCGAATCAAATAGCCATAGGGGCTAATCTAGTGATAGCACAACCGCATGAAGTTGCAACCAATGAAAACACTAGGTTGATGGGAAAGTATATGGTTCCACCAGTTGTGGAGAGCTAATATAGTATAGTATATTCGGCATTTGGTCAGGCAAACCTTCTATCTGAGAATGGATATGATCAACATGTTCCAGAATGCACTATAATTCTTTGGGAGACCTGTTGGAAATCTCAATGCTCATATATCAATATATTTATACATGTGTGCCACAATAGAACACCCAGGGGTTTCAAGTGAAGCAATTCAGTTGAGACTTTTTCCATACACTTAGAAAGATTCAGCAAGGGAGTGGTTAGACACTTGTCCACCTCAGAGCATTACTATTTGGAACCAATTGAGTCAAAAGTTCCTTAGCAAATATTTTCCACTGAAGAAAATGACTCAAAATACTATTCATAGGCTTGAGAATGATACAAGGGTTTACTCTACCAATGTCCACAACATGGACTACAGAACTGGGTTTAAGTACAATATTTTTACATTGGTCTAAACCCAATTGTCAGGCTAACGTAGCTCCACATGCGATAGTTCCATCATAAAAAGAACCGAGAATCAAGTCTACCAAATAATGGAGGATTTGGGATTCATTATTGCACTTTCGCCTACTGAAAGGATGAGTGGAAGGAAAGCTGCTAGGGTATTCGAAGTTAACTCTCTAACAGCAATTTCAGCACAGTTGGCATCACTGGCACAAAAAGTAGATCGAATGAGTACATCACAGACAGTTGGACTGAAATGCAGATATTGTAGAGGGAACCACGAAAGCATTGATTGTAATGTAGGGTCTCCTTTTGTTCAAATAGTGGAGGATGTAAACTGCACTCAAAATTTTCAGAGGCAGCAACACAATCCAAATCCTAACACTTAATATTCAGGTTGGAGAAATCACCAAGACTTTTAGTGGAGTAATAGTCAAGGGGCTCAAACCGGACCATAGCAGACTGCACCGCCAAGTTTCCAATAGAATGAGAAGACATCTTCATTAGAAGATCATGTGACTAAGATGGCGAAGATCTTGCAAGTTGCTGCCATCAAGAATTTAGAAAATCAGATGGAACAAATAGCAAAAGTACTCTTAGAAAAACTGTAAGGAGCACTGCCAAGCGACATTGATACAAATCCTAAACAATAGGTCATGACGGTAAAAGTTGTAGAGAGTGAGAAGATTGAGGCAATCAATACACGTAGCGGGACTCAACTTTTAGAAATCGCAGTCGACAGATGCGTGATAGTAAATAAAAAGGTACTTTCCATAGATGAGGAGCAAGTGGATATATCTAAATAGCTAGATGAAGTAGTTGCATATCAAGAGTCAGAAAATCTATAGGTTAAGGCAACCCCTCCTATCAAACCTATTTCTAAAGAGATTGCAAAGAAAGAAGCTCGATGATCAATTCGAGAAATTATTGGATATGCTAAAGAAGCTTCACGTCAACATTCCATTCATTGATGCAATCAGACATATCCTGATGTAAGCAAAGTTTTGAAAGACATGATATCTAAAAAAGAAAGCTTCCAGACTGGAAGAAAGTGGCATTGACCGAGAAGAGGAGTGCAAGACTGCAAAATAAATTGCTACAAAAACTAATAGACCCAGAAAGTTTCACTTTGCCCATTTCACTAGGCAAATGATTTCATTTTAATGCTTTATGTGATATAGGTGCAAGTGTCAATCTAATGTCGTTGTCTACTTTCAGGAAACTAGGAGTTAGGGAAGTCCAAGGATCAAATGTGACACTGCAGCTGGTAGATAGAAGCATCAGATACCCAACGGGCAAGGTTAAGGATGTGCTCATTAAGGTTGGAGAGCTGATATTCCTGATAGACTTCCTTGTTATGGATCTCGAAGATGATTAAGTGATGCCAATAATCCTAAGTCGACTTTTCTTAGCAACAAGCCGAACATTGATGACATGGATAAGGGCGAGCTTAAAGTAAGGATGCAGAACACACATGAAGTCTTTAAACTAGGTAACCCATCCAAGCAAATAGCAAGCCTCGAGGAGGCTAAATTTGTTGTTTAAAAAGGTCAACAAGGCTCGAAGGAGACAGAGTCTAAACATCTAGGCGATGAGTGTATTTCACTCATACTTTAGACACCATCCAAGCTTTATATTTAGCTAATTCCTACAATTTTTGGAGTGTTTTAATGTGTGTTTTGATATTGTGATATAGGTTGATGAAATTGAAGGAAAATGGCTAAATTGTAAGAGATCCAAAGCTCGGTGACTGAAGTGCAATTACTCAAAAGTTGTGTCGAACCTCACGATGAAGATTCGAGAGTGTTACAGGTTAACTAGATGAAGAAAGATGTCAAAGGGATCAAATATTGCCAAAGTATGATCACACATCAATCTTCAACCAAAAAAAGTTATGCTATGAATTTTAGTCTCATATTGAGACCTATTTTTTACATAGAAAACATTCAAATTGGAAAATGATATTTGAAGTAAAATTGTAGTCCTTTGAGTTAGATTTCCAAAGCTTTTTGAATTATCTCAATCGAATATCGAGAGAAAAAATTATGATAAAAATATTAAAGGATGCGTAGTCTATTCTTTCTACCCAAGATGGGCGCCACCATGCTGAAAATACAGAATTCACGGCGTTGAGGTGCCGCCTTGTGGGAAAAGTATCTTTTAATGTTTTTGGACTCTTTTCTTGACCTAATTCTACCTTAATTCGTCCAAGAACCCAAAACGCTATAAATTAGGGTTGAACAAAACTCTCGAATCGAACCGAACGATTCTTCTTAAATTAAATACCCAAACAGATATCTAAATCGAAAACCGACGGGTTAGATTCGGTTCTCAATTCTAGATCAAAAATC